GCCCCGGCATTGTAAGGAGGACATATAGGCATGTGGAGGCCACATACTATACTGAGTTCATTCTGACCTGTTTTAAGGGACATTACATCAAAGTTGGATCATCCTCTAGTGTGTTTTACCACTTTAATTTTGGTTGTGACTCCAAATCAAAGCCTCCGTTGGTTAATAAATTTGATTTCCATTAATGATATTTGTTTTATTTTGTTGTCAGCACATTCCACTTTGTACTGAACAAAGAATATTTCATTCAGTGGAATTGATGTTGTTTTATTTCAGTGTTCCCTTTATTTTTTGAGCAGTGCTTATAGCAGCGGCGGTTGTTGCACTCTGAAACAGGGGAGGCTCAATTGTAATAATTAAATCCAAACGTTAAGGATTGCATCAACAAATGTTGAAACACATAAAAACATTATTACTACTGGTGAAAATAGCGTTTGTGAAGCGCTCTGAATTAACAAAAAAAAAAACTCTAGAAAACACAGCAAGAATCCACAACATGAGGATTGTTGTGACTAAATGATCACTTTCCCCTCTTGACTCCTCAGGTAAACCTCCTTGCTGTCTGGCCACTGTCAACCAAAAATCAGCATCGAGCAGCCAGCTTCCCAACTTGCCCCTGCTCCATAGACCCTCCAAGCGGTTTAGCCTCACTTGAAGTGACTAATTTTGCTAAGTTATCCAATCACGGCTCTACTTTCTCATTGGTTACCTTAAAATACCCCGTTGAGTCTTAGAGAGTCAGGCAGAGTCCTGCAGCTCCAGAGCGGAGGGGAGATTGCTTCCAAAAGTGGGCTCAACAGTTGTTGATTGCATTGAGGGTAGCAGCCAATGCTGATGAAGTTTGACAATTAATTTTTTACCAATAATTCCAAAAAAGCTATATATTTTTTAAAGATTTAAAGAGCACGATAACTTTCAAATGGTATGTGGGTAACAGTAGCACATTCAGCTCACGGCAAACAAGGCTAATTAGTATACTGTAACTACTGCAGACTAATGCAGTTTCTGTAATCTAATCGATAGTCATTAGATCAGCTCGGAGAAGTTTAATCCAACAGCTAAGTGTTTGTGATTTTTTCCCATCTGCCTCTACCTTGTTGTCTGCCAAGCAGGTCAACTTGAACTAACTGCCTGCTACATACACAAACACACACATTAAAGAAGATGTGCCTGGTGTCTCTCTTTTATTCCCTGCAGTTCTGGCACTAGATTCAGAGTCATGCCAGAGTCGCTTATTTCACTCAGGTCATATGAAGTTAAATCTCTTATCATCTCTGGACAGTTTAACAGTACCTTAAGAATGTTAATAAACATGGATGTTGAATTTAAGTATCAGTTGACAATGAAAAATTTTTTTAAGGACTGACACTTCTGAAGGGGAAAAAGCTTGTGGGATCCACATCAACCTGGCATTATGTAAAAAAAAAAACATATTGGCAACCATCGTTAAATCATGTAAATCTTTGTTAAGGCCTGATTATACCAGAGCCACTAAATAATATGAACAGAACATGAAGTAGAGTGAAATATCTTAAAAACAACATGTTGAGGCTCAATATGAAGCGAATCAGAGAAAAAGAAGAAGTCTTTGCCCTCTTTCTTTCTGGACAAGTCTAGACAACTAAACCTTTTGGACTCCACAGTGAGAGCCATAATCCTGAAACAGAGAAAATATATAAAAAAAAAAAAAGACAAATGAGTGCAGAATCTTTCTATTCAAACCCTTTCATTTTTGAAGGCCACCTTTCCACTGTATTCTGCCCTGTTTTATAACTTTTAGAAAATCCTTTGATACAAATAAATAATCCACTTAAAAGCATTAATTTTCACATACTAAACTGTGTCTACATTTTCTTTGGTTAAACTGAAATACAGATGCAATATTTCAAAATAGCAGCCTGAAGCTAAACTTGTTATCTGGAGAAACAAAACATTTTCACTGTATTCATGGGCCTCTGATGATACACAGTGAATAATGTGGAGTCAAAAAGACTGATTGTTGAATACATATTTTCTGTAATTTATTTATTGTTCTTAATGAGTACCACAACTCATTTTATTAAACAATAAAACAAAATCTATGTTAAGGTTATATTTTCCACACAAACTCCTATTGATGGTGTTTACCTTTTTAAAAATTCTGTCTAAAGCCCCTCTCACACCTTGACGATTCAGCCAGCGTATGCCTGATGACGAAAAATCTGGCAAAAATACTGGCATATGTTATGGGTACATTTTGTATAACTTCTGAGCATGCTGAGGTACGCTGAAGCACGCTTAAGCACGCTGGCACACGTCAACATACAGCAAGTACATCGAGAAATTTTAAACATGCTCAAAATTTCCTGATGTATGCCAGTGAATGCTTATATGCGGGGCATAAGTTACAGGTAAGTTATTTGATTGTTGACATAAGTGAGTTACTCATAAGTCTTGTGTCTAGCTTATCCAAAACTTATGATTGACTGGTGCATAACTTATGCATAACTTATCTCCAACGCATATCTTTTTAGTTATTATTTTTTGGGCAGACAGTAAACAGCAACTAAGTCAATACCGCAATCAAAGAAATTTTTTTATGCAGGCTGGGCGCCTCGCTACCCCCCTTAGGACACTGGCAGGTAATATTTCATGGGCTTACACTGCTGTGCGTTATGCATAAGTTAGGATGTCGTTGGACATACGCTGTGGACTCATTATGAATTATGAAAACACTATGACCATCCTGATCTCGCGAGCTTTCAAGATTTCACTCGCTAATCAGTCTGGAGACTGTCAGTTAAAGAAAATTTGGAGACGTTCACCAAACGAATGTCCAATCAGCGTTGGCTTTGAGGCGGGTTGAGGTGTGACGCAACGAGAAGCGCGACAGTTCAGTCTAAAGAACATGGCGGCTTCAGCCGATGAAACTAGCGTTAGCATGGCTATCGAGCAAGTTTTATCGGAATTACATAGTATTTCTTCACTGAAAGAAGAGCACTGCCCTGGAGGCTTTTCTCAGAGGAAAATATGTTTTTGCTCTTCTCCTGACTGGTTTCGGCAAGAGTAGCCTGGCTGTTAGTACGTCATATGCTTCGTTGATCTGATTGGTTTATTTGGCCCGTCTATCACCAACATAGGCCAATCAGCTAACCAGTATTTTCGCCCCTTCCCAAAATTACTTCAACCGAAGGTTTCCAGATGGATATGCGGAGCAAATCCATCTGGCGGAGTCAGGTTACTAAGTATATGACCGTATTGAAAAAATACACAGAAAGTTCAGTGAATAAATAACAAACAGTACTGCCATAACTGCTAAATATTTTAGCTTATCACTTTAAAAGGGTAATAAACTGTTTAAAAAAAATTTATTTAAAACATTTGATCAGCCTACCTATATGTATATTTTTGTATTATGTATATTATTAGCAGCTCTAATGTCAGGCTATTGTGGAATAGCAGCGGTGAGAAAAGGTTTTTGTCAGGTTAGGAGAAGGTTTTGAGGACCTAAATGCAGAGAGGAGTAGGCACGGATGAGTTTGGACGGTTTAATGTAAGTCCAAGGGAAACAGAGGAAAAAATCCAAAATACAAAAATACTGAAAACAAACAAAATGAAATGAAAAACACTTAGGGGAAGCAAGAGACTAGGAAGCAACAAAACAACATCTACTGTATAACACACAAGAAACCAGCACTGAATGAAAGCTCTGGTGCTCTTTTAAGCCCAGCACTATGATTATCCAGATTACTTTCACCTGTGTTGGCTACCCAAGTTCTCCACAAAGATCCTCTATAGTAGAGATGCACAACTCGCACTTACCCACACACATGAACCCTGACAGTTTTTCTAATGTTTTAATGAAAAGATAAAATGATAAATAATAACATGGTGATACAAGCAATTACTGTGGCTAATTATGGCATGTTTCTATTTCTAAAGAACCTAGATCCTTGTTTTAACTTTAAGATTTTTAAAACATTTTGAAATCAGCATGTTGTCTGACAGAGAAGAGATGCTTAAAATGACAAAAAAGCTTAAACTAATACACAGCCTTGATTTTAAATTTAGCACATGCTGCTCCCTTTTCTAGATTTTTTCATTTATTCCTCTTCTCACTTCATTCTCGGATGGTAAATATTGTTGACTCTAAGTTGTTTACTTGTTGTAACCGATTAGCACAGTATCGTGTTTTTTTACTGATTGAAGGAAATATGGTCACCAATTCAGCAACGATCAGACAAATCTGATGGTCTCTAGAGGTTATCTCAGTGCATCTCTCGTAGAATGGTGATGCTAGTGTTTCATAAAGAATTCCATATATGTTTCCAGACTTTTTCATTGTTTTTACAGTTGCATTGAATACACTCACAGGACTTTTGGAGCCAATATGTGACACAGGAAATAAAATTTCACATTACCCAGCAGCTGTTTCAGCACCTTACCCTTGCTTTTGATGGTGTAAATAGAAAAGTAAAAGTTGTTTCTTCTTAAAGTGGTTAAAAAAAATGTTCCTTAAAACCAAAATAACATATTTTAAACAACACAATTTGTGGGTTAGAATAATTTAATGGCATAAGACCAATTTCTTAATTCTGGATTTTCCCTTTTTATTTGTTCATATGGGGCAGCAGGTTTACCATTTTCTATGTGAATAGATGGTGATGTAATATACAGATATAAAATTGCATTTTATTTTTTCAAGTTGACCCCCTGGCTCTGCTTTTTAAATCCAAACAGTGCATATTTATCACACTGGATGTGCTCTCATATCATGAGTAAAAATTCATAATTCTTTTTTTTTATTTAATAGATGGGAATTGATGAACATAAAGCAGAGATGTGGAAATAAACCTGCTAAAGATGAAGTATAATAATGCCTGCAGAAGCTGCTTGTTGGAAATCCATTGCTGCTGAGCCAATATTCAATTTTTCTGACATGGCTATAAATACACAGATTCTAATAGAGGTGTCAGGCAGGCAAATGAAAGACATGCTGCAAATCAGACAATATCACGTACCCTCGGTCAGATGACCCTTTTCTCCGGCCACAAAGTCTCCAAAGCCAATAGTGGTGAGGGTGATGACCACAAAGTAGATGGATTCAAGTGTGCTCCAGCCTTCGATATGCTTGAAAATGACAGCTGGCAGGGCCACGAAGATGAGACACCCGAACAAGATGAAGAGCAGGGTGGAGATGACACGGATCTTTGTCTGGCTGACTTTCCACTTCTGAACCAAAGATAGGAAAAAGGAAAATTGAAAGTTTTCACACTCAGTAAAAAGGCTCAGTAAAAAAGATAAGCAGATTGATGTTTTGGATAATTCTGAAGAAACGGACAGCATTTTAAAAGCATTCATACCTACTCATATTTTATATGTTGTTTAATGTTACAACCAAATGTATTTCATAAGCACTTTGTGAAAAATTTCAAGACACAAAGAAAAGCATAATTGTGAAGAGGAAGGAAAATGATGCACTCGTAAATACAAATCTGAAGGTTGGATCAAACATCAGTATCTTTTCGTACAACCTGACTGGATGGAGATGGAAACAAAAAGTCTCAATAGAGGTTTGATTGACTGAGTCATAATAACCGCTGAATATGCTTCAATCAAAACCATTGTAGTTCTAGTTGTATGTTTACAGTTATTGTATTGGAAGGTGAAGGAAGTGTTTTTCAACCTCTGACAGGTTTTCTTCCAGGACTGCCTTGTATTTATTTTATCCATCCTTTCATCACCTCTATTATCCTCTCTGTTTCTGCTCAAGAAAAAAAGTCTCTAAAGGACAATGCTTCCACCCTCCATCTTTCACTACTGGGATCGTGTCCTTCTTCAAAATCTTAGTGTTGTCCCTTTCATGGTCAGTGGCAAATTAAGAATTAAACTTATGGTGAATGTCTTTTAAACTACGGCTTTCTACTTGTCACTCTTCCAGCATTAGTTACCCAAACAAAAATTCTCCTCTATCTGGACATGTGCAGCTCCTCCAAAGTTACCGGCTCTCCTTGCATAGCCTGTTCTCTTGCAAGTGTGCAGTTAATCCACATTTTGCCCTTGTTTTTTAACAAATGTTAAAACACGTAAAACACATTACTACAGCTAGTGAAAATAGCTATTGTGAAGCGCTCTGAAATAATAAACTCCAGAAACCACAGCAAGAATCAAGAACACAATGACTGTTCTCAGTAAATGTTCAAGAACCGTTCCACATATATTGACAAGTTCTTAATCCGATATAAAAGCATGAGGTATATTGTTTTTAACCACCTTTGTAAGATTTGACCACATTGTTGTCCAGTTGTATCTATACTTGCGTTAAAGGTTGACTACTTTCAGTGACATCTGATGAGTTTGTTGCACAGAAATAATTTTCATCGTGTCAGAGTTAAAGGCAGCGGTATAGGGAACAGCCTGACGGTGAGGCCCTTGGCAGCCATAAGAACACGCGAAAGGCAGCGTTCTGCGGCACGCATGTCAATCGTTCCCCGATGAACGGTTTGTACTAGAACTAAAATCTCGATTACAATGTAAATTGTAGTTGACAATAAAGAAATATATTGATTGATTGATTGATTGTATATAGCGGCCATTTTTGAAACCTATGTATTGTATAGAATTTTTTTTAACTGTATCAGAAATGACATTAAACAGAGTTCATATGACTAGGATGTCTTTATTTTAGGGGCCTTCATAGTAGTAGATATCTGAATGGATTCAGTATAGTAACTGTATGATGTGCCAGACCTGATCTATATGTGAACTCTGGCATTCATTTTTCTGCCAAAGCGTCTGTGAAATTGAAAAACATTCTACATGCAGCTGATGTCTGGGCTGCTTTTTCACTTGAGGTGACTTCTTTCAGCTTGTTATGTGCCGATACCATCATGCCCTTTTCTTCACTGTTTATGTGAGCCGTAAGAACAGTATGTCTGAGGCGAAACAGAAAGAGCAGACAGACCTCAGATCATTGAGTGTCTGATTGCTTCCTTGCTGCACTGGGAAAACATGAAATACAGCAGAGTTTAAAGATGATGTGCTATGCCAGAATTAGCTGAAAAATATAAGCATCACTTCCCCCAAGGAGACTTATAAAAAATGTAGTAATCCATCTGTTTCTTTTGTCTGCATGACCCTCCAACCTTACCTTTCCCACAGGGATTGGCTTATTCAATCTGTAATATAATTAACCTGTTGTTGAGTATCTTGGTGTTAAAGAATTGCCGCTGTCACTGGTTTTACTGCACAATAGAAAGCTTAACCGTAAATGTGCTCAAAAAATGTCTTGGTACTTTTGAAGCGAAACCTAATTTCTCACCGGTTGATTTATTTAAAAAGCCACTTTTAGTACATTCTCTGGCATGCTGAGGCTTTAATTGGAAATAGTAAAATCTGCCTTTTGTCTCTGGTCAAATGATTCTGCAGTTGGGTCTAAGATTAATTTGCCATGGCCACAGAATTCAGTGATAGGGCCTAATTGAAAGCCTTTATTTTTCACTGCAAGACTAAGCTCCAGCTCAGGGATAAAAGAGCAGTGACATATCTACAATCCCAAAGTTGTTCTTATCACACTTTGTTGCCTGCTACACTGAGAATAGTGGCATGTCCTCTACTCCTGCTGCATTTGTCAGCAGCCTTGTAGCCTTTTCCAAGATCCAAAATACCTGCAATTATTCACAAACACTTGTTTTTCCAATTTTTAATAATGGCGTTTTTGTAATTTAATTGTCTAGTCAAGGTTTTAACTGTAAAACCTTAACAGATATCTGTTGCACTGATATCCATGACATATTTGAAGCTAATCTGAGACTAGGCTATGGAAAAATCAACACCTTTTTAGATATCCTTCCTTCCTTCCTTCCTTCCTTCCTTCCTTCCTTCCTTCCTTCCTTCCTTCCTTCCTTCCTTCCTTCCTTCCTTCCTTCCTTCCTTCCTTCCTTCCTTCCTTCCTTCCTTCCTTCCTTCCTTCCTTCCTTCCTTCCTCCCCACATGCTGCTCATATGGTTTGGTTTTCTAGTCAAAGAGTAGGAGCGGACAGCAGAGAATAGCATATGCTTGAATAAAATCAAGTTTTTTTCTCATCCCATTATCTCAGACAACCAGTTGCTAGTTTGATTTAAGTGCTTTCCTTTTTTCATGCCGATCATATGCAAACATCCCCATTAATACTCACCACGATCATCTTTTCGACTTTGGCAATGCCCTTCCCAAAAATAGTTCCTAACTGGTCCCCAACGCCAGCCAGCAGGAATCCAAACAGAGGAATGCCCAGCAGAGCGTAAAGGATACAGAAGATCCGCCCTCCTTCTGTGTGAGGAGAGATGTTTCCAAACCCTGATAGAACAAAGATACAGGCAGACAAAAAGGAAAACTAAACGAATTTAAGTTGGAAGAGAAAAATAATGTTTTTCAGGCTTTACTGCTGCCTTATAAGTATTTACTATTGGAAGGATTTGATGTTCCAGATGCAAACTCAACACTAGCTATCTTTAAAGATGAAGCTACATTAAAGCAGATTTGGTTTCTCTGCCTTGCTTTGGGTTTGCTCAATTTCAGAAATTTGCAAAGGTGCTCTTATTTCTTTCAAGAGAACAAATTTATGTGTAGAACATAAGGCTTTAATATTTTTTGTATGTGCAGGGGCTTTCTTTAAACTGATTCCACATGCGTCTTGTATGATTTTTAAGTCCATCCAGTTGCAAACTAGTTACAAAATGCATTATCAACATGTGATGCAAAAAAAGAAACTATTTCAGAATCAAAGCTGATCCTGATTTTAGCTTAATAAAACTTGACTTGCTAGACCACAGAACCGATCTACGAGGCTTGATCAAGACAAGTTATGAATTCAGAAAGATGGGGGAAAAAAACAGCTTGATGAAATACCAACAGTGAGAGATGGAGACATGCAAGGGCCTCGGACTCAACCTAATCTATTATTCAGACCTTCTATTTTAAAACAAATTAATAGAATCTGAAAGAAAATGAACTTTCAGCCGACTTTTAGCACTTGATACAAGAAATGTTTTCTATTTATTGCTGATCTCCAAACCCACTGTCGACTGCAGCTTAACAACAAAACTTTTGGAAGAAGCTTCAGATAGTTTTTTCTTACATAATAAACATTAAAACACCAGATTCTGTCATTTCCATTGTTCAATGTCTGCTTAATGAACTAAATTCTATTGTTTTTTTATTAATACATGTAAGCTGCAGGGAGCCTTGTAATGACTTCCCAGTCTAATTCTGGAGCAGAGTTACAACCAAATGTCAATCACATCTCATTAATTTTATGATTAATTCCAGGGGAGACAGATTTAATTCATAATACTTCTTGGTGTCTATGTTTAGCTAAATGTTAAATAGTGGACCATCTACTTTCAGATTCTGTTTACACTAATCAATTCATAACTGTATTTTATTTGTTTTTTTAATTTAATAGCAAATAGAAGGTAAGCATATCTTCCTTAGGAAAAAAGGAAAATTAAGTGTTCCACTTGTTCAGTTAATGTAACTATTGCCAAGGTTTATAAAACCTCTCTATCATTATTCTTCACTGAGTTTTTATAGGTGCTTGATAATCTTAAATAGTCTATTTTTTCAGTTAGGACTAAAGCTTGTTTTCATTACAAAATGCACATCCTTCTAACTGAGCAAGGCTACCTTATCAAGATTTATTCATAATTTTTTTTTTTTTTCATCTGAGATAATACCAGATTTATCAAAAGAAGAGCAATTTTGCTGTGGTACTTCCTTGTCTCTCTTCAAGTGTTTTTTTCCCCCCTCATCTAAAGCCAAGTTTTCTTCACTGTGTGCTGGTTATTGTGATTCTTTTTAAACATCTACCTGATACTGAAAATAGGCAATTGTAAGTGTTTTGTTGTCAGTTTTGTAGTGACCTGGTAGCTCCTGGTATGACTGACTAATTTTACACCAGTCACAGTTTAGGTCTGGTCATGTGTAATATTAGCCACCGATCAATAGGTTTATTAGATTTTTATAGTTTCAAGGTTTTGTTGTCCTTAAACTGTAGAGCTTTCTAAGAACTTCTCTGCCTTTATTTATGCATTTACTGTATGCACTCCTTCAACACTTAAGATTTTGCCAATAAAAAGCTGCAGTCTACACAATTTCATAATTTAACAAATAATTTAAATACGATGGCTGCACTGTCTCTGGTTTGGAGAATGATAGTTTTAACTAACATAAATCATGAAGAGATACAGGGGTTGCAATAGAGCAGCATTTATCTAAACATCTTCATTAATATTTGGTAGATACTGGAATATACAATTGATCTCTGTAATGGTCTATTTGATTACATATTTCAATAACTTGTATCATTAAAAAGCTGTTTTTGTCATGTTTTACCATAGTGTTAACTGATGAAAATCCCGAACAAATATACGTTCATACATGTTGTTGTTGTCATCTTTTGGTTTGTATAGGACCAAAATGCAGAGCCTGAATATAACCAAACAATGTGTTAAAGGAGAACAAATAAATTTGTCTTTAACAAAGAAAAACAGGACGTGGAGCTTCAATAGAGTAAAGGGTTGTGAAATCGTATCTAACAGAGTAGAATCTAGCTAACTAAGATCAAGTCAACTAACTAAGATTATTTTAATTAGTGACACCAAGCAAGATTAAATATTGAGGTAAGAGTGGAGAATGACGTTACTCTGAAGGTAAGCAAATCAGGGGCTAATGCGTAACAGCTGAGGAAGAATGGAAGCAAGGAGAGTGAGGGGGCATTCTAATTAACACAAAAGGAGCTAAACAAAGACATGAAGAAACAAGAAAACCAAAGGGAAAAGAAAAACAGGCATCTTAGAGAAACATTACTAGATATGAAATAGAATGAAAAATCCCTTTATTGTTCCATAATGGGGAAATTAAATGAGAAAACGCAAGAATTAAGTAAGGAACTAAATATAATGGAATGAAGCAATTAAATTATCTTCCTAGCAAAAAAACAAAACATAGAGAAATTGACAAATTATAACATGATTTTTTAAAGCATAAAGAGGCAACAAGGAAATGCCAAAACATAAACAAAAAAACAAAAATCAAAACACTCTGATACCAAGACACAAACAGATAGAAACTGATTGTCCCAGAAACTGATTGCCCCCTGTTCATACAAGCTAGAAAAACTGGCTTCCAATGTGTTTTTGTTGATCTAGATTGTGCAAAAAGTAAACAGAATGTAACCACATAGACTCAACAAAGGGATCCCAGGGTAATCACTCCAGGATACAGGATATAACACTAATTTAGCCCCAGGAGAAAGGAAAATATTTGCAGGAGAAGTAATTAATTCCTGTTTTACATTCTGGATGACTAAGAAAGGGAATTTTCTTTTTATAAGGTTATTACATTAAAATTATCTGCAAAGTCAATTGAAGTTAAAATTTCAACAAATGATTAAAATTTCAAGCTGATCTCATAGCTTTCTTTTGCTGGGCACAGGCATACAATGACACTGGCATCAGAGGCAGCTCCGTCTGATTTATTTACATAACAGCGTGAAGCCAAAGGAACAATCAGGAAAAATGATGATTGCCCACAGACAGCACAGCAATTATGTGCTGTTTACACTAACAGGCTGTAAAGATAAAACACACAAAACACCACCTGGGTGTGAGGTTTCTACAGACAATTTTAAAGCTTTTATACACCGCCACCAGAACTTTTTTCTTTTTTTTTCAAATTTGCCTTTGGTGAATGTTTCCAAAAACATCAAGCAAAGCACATCTATGTTTTTTGAGTTGAAGCCAATGCACTTCTTTTCATTGGATCCAATATCACTGCAGTGAAAATGTCTCAGAGTACATTCTTACCTTTCCTTTGAGTACAATCATAGTAAAATCCCAGTTTATGGAAAGAAAATAAGCTCTCTAAATCAACATAATCCACCGTAATTTTATGTATTTTATTGGATGTTTATGAGACACTGTGATTAATTAGTTAATCACAGTGAAATGGGTTTGTATATGCTATCCCACTGGTCAAAAAATTGCAAGCACTCCTGTTATTTAACTTTAGGTATTTTGGTGTCTCTATTAGTGTTTGCCACAAATCAGGATCCTTTATTTAGTAAAATCTATCCTACCATAAGCAATTTGACAGAGGTATGTCTAGTCTGCAGTGAGGTACTGCAACAACAACAACAAAACAAAAAAAGACACTACATTTCTGAATTGTACAACTTACTGTATAGTCCAGTCAATAGACTCTTTTATCTACGTTTCTGATCTCTTCTCTGATCAATGCTTCCCTGGCCTTTCACTATTGGTCGATGGTGGCATTCCTGTGGTGCCATGCTCTTTTTTTTTATTATAGTTCCATATTAGATATCTAAATCATATTATTATTGTCATATTATTCTCCATATAAGCATACAATAAACATATTTATTTAGAAGTGCCAGAGTGAAGGCTGCTACATGCATCAAAAGAAACGTAGACATTTTTTCTAGCTCCAGCAGTAATTCAAATACATTTTTTTCTCTCATCGCTGTCTTGGTGGGTCTTGCTGCTTGTTTTTAAAAACAAATCTTGGCAGAACTTGGAGTATATCTGAGTGTATCTACTGTGCTGTAATTGGGCTGAATTTGTATGGCTTGTTTTGGTTTGATAAGAGGAGATAGCTCACAAATCTGTTGAACAACACTAGACACGCAGTTCAGTTCACAGTAAGTGATATAATGTGACATTTCTGCTCACTTGCAGTGTTTTCTCTATAACTTATTCTAGTAGTTCTTCTCTGGTGTCTGCAGTATTTCCAAATAGCCCCGGTGCACACGGTGAGCTCTTATTTCTGTCGGCTCCTCTATGTTAAGCTCTCTGCCTGCTATATGCTCGGCTTGTAATCTCTGCTCCTCTACCCAGCCTGCACTTAAAGGAATAGAGAACGATCTTTTATTTCCAGGTGGATCATCTAAGTAAGTGGTCCTCATAATTGTCAGTCATTGTGGTGATATGTTTACATAAGGCCGTGCTACATGCTCGCCCCCAGTTAGCAAACTTTTATCTGCGCATGAGCACTTTTAGGCGTAGATATGTGGGAGCTATGGTTTTAAACAGCAACTCAAGCTCATCGTTCTCACTGCGGTTCTTTGAAAATGGCCAAGGGTCATAAGAGAAAAACTGTCTACAAAGTGTATAAGAAGAAAATAAAGGCCTCAGAAGGGGCAGATATATGTCCCAGAATGCTTTACGCAGAGAGCTCTCCTTGCAAGGCATTATGGGATTTGCTGTCACAGCAGCCCGCTGTCGCCATAGGCTGTCGCTACCCGACAGCAGTGACTAATAGCAAAGATGGCACAGCGCGGTGGAGGAGTTATGTGACCAATGAGGAGCAGAAAGCAGTGATCATCTTTCAAAATGGTAAGTTAACCGAGTTCGCTTTAAAATCCACTATATAGTCCCTACTCTATATAGTGATTGAGTGAAGCATGTGCATGTGCATGCTTTTTAAAGTGGAAAGGGCAGGTCTTTTAAATAATCCGCTTTAATTAATCTTCAGTGACATGTATAGTGTGGTGGACTGAGGTGGAGTATGAAAACAATTCTTTCCCAATCTTGCCACCTCGAGTGACACAGAACACATGAACACTACACCAAGATTTTTTTTTTGTATATACATTTAAAAACTACAATATCTACAGTATTTTCACTCACTACAAAGTACTTTGTGTTAAGCTATAATAAATTATCCAAATAAACATACCATGCAATAATAAATATACCATACAATGCAGCATGGTATGTGTTGGTAATGTAATAAAAAATACAAAAAAAGGGGAACAGATACCTTTGTAAGGTAGTCTTGACTTTTCTAAATTATACAAAGTCTATCTATTGCAATTACTTAAAGAAACTGGAGGCAGGATTAGGATATTAGACTCACCAGTGACTGGACTGGTGCTGCAGGTAACTGCAGGCACAAGCCAAGCCGACACGGGAGTGCGGAAAAAGTCGAACAGGCCATTTTATCAGCCCTGCGTTGGTGATGCTGTTTACTACGTGACGGTATACTTCAAGACCTCATGCATATTTTGTGACAGCAACAACCGCAGTGTCGAGCAAGTCTTCTACTCCTCAACATCCGTGACTTCCCAGATCAAAGCTATCGAGGGCGCTGCTTGCGCAGTAGGACTAGGTGGCAAATTCCTCCTTCAAATTGCAGCATATTATGAAAAACACAGCCTGTCCAAGCCAATGGAGAGATATGTGGATGGGCTTGTTGTTGTTGTTTTTAACACTTTATTATCCATAAGCATTTAAAAAACTTGCATGTGGTGCACATGCACATGCATGTGAATTAATAATTCCATCAAACAGCATCTAGGAGACACTGACTGGAATACGGTCACACACCAAACAGATGAGTGTGTGTGTTGTTATACACACCATCTTTCAGTTCTCACCGAAAACAGACAGAGAAACAGAAAATGCTTCTGGTAAAAGACCTGAACATGTGGAATTTATTGTTTGCGCATAGAAATCATGCTCTGGCTGCACTTAATTCTAATTCATGTGAGCAATGAGCACACTCTTATTTCAAGCTAATAGCCAAACTTGAGGTTATTTAATCTCCTTATTAGAGACTGAGATTTGACAGTGTGCTGGAAATGTGAAACAGAGCCCAGCAACCCACTGAACAGACACAGTGATCTGTCAAGGTCCGATTGGAAAAGCCAGATGAACTGTCAGAATGTGTGTGCGTATGTGCAAGAGTCTGCGAGGGGGGTGAATGTGTGAGCTTTTGCTTTTTTTCCTGATTAGTAAGCTCTTACAGCTGCAGATGACACAAAGGGAGGACAAATGGTGTAAAAGAAAATGGGAACCCTGGTGGATTTTTCAGCCTGTAGCCTTCAGATAAAGGGTAATGTGCTTTAATTATAAAGTGAGTCGCCCATTTAACTTCTGTTCTTGGGGATAAATGGGATATTAGGTCTGTTGCAAAGACCCTGATAACATTTGAAATCTCGCTAACGGCAAAAACTATTTAGTGGAAATACTACTAAATCGGACAAATGAATGACTGCTTTGGTCCACGTTTAGACAAGAAACAGAAAAGTTAGCTATCCCTGCAGCTCTGTAATTCAGAACATGTTAAAACATTGTTTTTTTATCTTACAAATAGGTTCTATTTGGTCTGATGTACTAGTAAAAGAGAAAATCATGAGCTATCTTGTAGCGGAAATTAGTTTTTTTGGGGGGATTGCAATTTTTGCTGGCATGCAGCAATCGAGCAATCTTGGGCAGTAGCCAATGTGACTGTAATTTGTCACAAGTGCAATTTCATGCCAAAATGGTCCTTGAAATTGCACTGTTACTCTGCCGTGCTTCTACTCTGTATACAGAACATGTGTGTTTTTAATTTTCAGGACTCTCGAAACAGCAGATGTTATTTTCTGTCTATTTATAAATCGTTCCTCCTACCGATTGTGGTGATAACAGTCCCAGCAAAGAAAAAGGAGGAGCTAAGGTCCCACAGGCTCGTCTGATTGGATAAATTTCCTGATGGATTCACTCCTGCTCGAACCGCTGACACCACTTGCTGCAAAAGAAAGAAGAAAAGTTTGAGTATAAAGATGGAGCCTCACATAAGGATTTATGAACCATATGGTTTTATAAACTGAGGAGCTGCACCGTAGATTAGAAGTCTGCAAAGGATCTCCTGGTAAAAGAATAAAAGCTGAAGTAAACATCCAATGGAGTCAATTAGGATTTAAGAAACAATGAGTAGCATCTGTCACCTTTTGAAAATGACTGCATTTGAAGTTGCTGTGTTTTGCACAAAACACCTGTCAAGACTACTGGGAGTAAAACTCAATAAAGGTTCTTAGTTTTGATGAATTCCTGTTTGTATTTTAGGATTTTCAAAGCCAAGCATCACTCCCACTTGAAAAGATTTTGCTGCGTTTGTCAACATATTGTCTCCAATCGAAACCAATATACACAAAGAGCGTTCTCACACAAAGTCAGTGTTTTGTCTCATTCGGTTCATTTGACACACTGAATATGTATATGTATATAACACAGTGAGCATTGGTGATTTTCTGCATCCCTGTTTCTAAATGTATGAAAGGTAAATTAAGATGGATGCACAAGTTTTAAGAATTAGTTTTTGTAGATTTTCAATCTTTAATATTTAAGGCATGTTTAGCAATTCTGCACCTCATAGTCATAAGTAAGCCTTTGTTTCTTGTGGCCAGGTTTGGTCTCTAAAAAGAATAAAAAAAAAAATTAAGAATGAGATTTCTTAATATGAATTTTGGGTTTGGGTTAGGA